ATGCTAGAGCAGTCTGTACGTATATGAGTCCGAGAGGAAGCCATTTTTAGACACTTTTTCATCTCTTTCTCTCTCTAAACATTTCAAAATCCTAGATCTTCACACTCTCTCTCTGTAGTTCTTGAACTCTAGCCCCAAATGTTCTCAATCCGTGAGTTTTCTCACCCTAGTCCTCTGGAGAAAAAACATTGAGCATGTCAAGGGCTTCGTTTTTGATCGGAGCATCTGGTGTTTTTGACACCATCAAGTTCTACCTATCATTTCTTCAAGTTTTTTACTTTGAGGTAGGGATTTCTTTAACTCTCTTATATGATCTTTAACTTAGTTATTTATTCTTGGAAAATGGTATTCATTTGGGACATTTCGAGAAAAACCTATGGTTTGGATTTGAAACCAAAAGAGAAGTTTTCCAAATGGACTTTTGAAAATGGTTGTGGGGATGTATTTATGAATGAGATATGTTAAAAGGATGGATATTTCTTCTTGAAATTGATTTTGTAAAATAAAGGGGATTTGCTCTAAATTTTAGATATTTGAAATTGTGAAGAGAAATGAAAAATGATATTGGGTATTGTGAAATTGGAATGATAGTTATGTTGATGATGATGGTGGAGTTGGATATGTAGTATTACTTCCTTTGTAATTGATGAAATTGTATCTTATAATTGGAAAATTATCTTTTGAATAGAAATAACTATTTTGGGTTATCAGTGGAGGATAGTTTTGATTGTTGTAGACATTTCATGAGAATTAGGTTGAATTGAAACTAATTTCTCATACATTGTGCATTGAGCATCATTTAATTTTGAACATTATAAATGTATTGGTTTTTGAGAAACAAAAGAGGTGAATGTCGTGGTGAATCTGGTTAGGGGGTACGGTTGTGGTTTTATTATGTTGGCCTGTGTGTCCTTGGTAAAAGTCCAGAAACCCGCACGGTTAGGTGCCGATCCTTCCGGTTAGTACCGGTAAAATGGCTTTGGTTGTGCTTGTATAGCCTACTGGTAGACACGTACCTAGAGATTTTCAGTGTTTTGTATCCACTGCCCTGGTTTTCTATTATAAAAAGGATTATTTTCATGAATCGATTTATAATTTGGCATTGTATTGTTTGAGATGAAAAATGAGAAATGTTTGACAAATGACATGCATGTGCATTCATCTTAAAATTTTTCTAAGATTTATATACCGTGTTAGAGTATCTCTACTGGGCAGTAACTTACCCTTACCTTATGTAAAAAACAATTTTTAGGTGATGATGATATGCCTCCGCCAAGGATGTAGCCTGGGAGCACTTGGAGCTTAAGGCTTCATTTTTGGATTCTTGATGTAATTATTTTTGTTTAAGCCCAAGGCTTTACTTGTATTGAATTTAAACTCATTTTGTTGTAACCAAGCTTCGTATTGGAAAGTTGTAGCCACTAAGGCATTTTGTTACTTGTTTTTATTTCTCTTATTACTCTTGCATCCATATCATATGCTATAGATTTAGAATCTAAGATTGGTGAATGTATATTACATATGTCATCCTTTGTAATGATCAGAGATAAAATGAATAGAAGTTATGAGATTGTTGAACAATTGTAGAACTATTTTTAGTTGGGTTAATGTTAATTATTTTTGGGGCGTGACACCATGGATCTGCATCTTTTTTGCAATCGCCATTGTCTGTGAAAAATAACCTGAAACACTTTCACTAGGTTTCATTTGAAGGGTCACAAATTCTCTGTGAAGTGCTTGGAGTTGGAAGCACTTGACCTTCGATGTGCCTTGATATTTCTTCTCCATTGAGTCCTATATCTGCTTGGAAGTGTCTTTCTAAAGAATGGTCTCCAGAATTGCACGATCAATTGCCTAAAATAAGTAATTTTTCACCTTGAGATCATCCTTCAGCCTTTGTATAATGAGTTTTTTATGTTGTAGTTCTGTTAAAATTCCACTTTCCGATTCAACAATGTCAATTTCCACAAGAATCCAATACTCCTTGGATCTTAGAAAATTCTCCATCAACATGCTCCAATGATCATAATGACAATCAAAGTGAGGGATAGTTGATTGGACATAGTTATCAACTACCTTGTCAGCCATGAATGCTTGCTACTGCAAGAAAACTATTGCTTCTGTGGAGAACTTATTTTCTGTTAAAAGAAATACATAAATAAATAAATAAAAATAAAAATAAAATAAAATAAATACAAATAAAGTTTTGAAGCTTTTAGGAAATTTCCAACACTTGTGAAGACTTGAGCTCCTAACTTGAATTTTTTTTTTTTGCAGATGATGTATAAAGGAGTTCAGATAGAAAAAATGCGTCTCTGGAAGAGGGCACACAACCTGAATGATCCCGATGTGGTGGCAATTGTGGTATGTCTATGGTTTAAAAGTTTTTACATATATTTTGCTTTTTAGCAAACATTGTCCTTATGTTTTCAAACTATATCCAATGATCATAATGACAATCAAAGTGAGGGATAGTTGATTGGACATAGTTATCAACTACCTTGTCAGCCATGAATGCTTGCTACTGCAAGAAAACTATTGCTTCTGTGGAGAACTTATTTTCTGTTAAAAGAAATACATAAATAAATAAATAAAAATAAAAATAAAATAAAATAAATACAAATAAAGTTTTGAAGCTTTTAGGAAATTTCCAACACTTGTGAAGACTTGAGCTCCTAACTTGAATTTTTTTTTGCAGATGACGTATAAAGGAGTTCAGATAGAAAAAATGCGTCTCTGGAAGAGGGCAGACAACCTGAATGATCCCAATGTGGTGGCAATTGTGGTATGTCTATGGTTTAAAAGGTTTTACATATATTTTGCTTTTCAGCAAACATTGTCCTTATGTTTTCAAACTGTATGAGGAATATAATGGAGTGAACTTGATCTTTGTGTTATGGTTATAAATTTCTAACTCTTTGGACTGCTTTATGGAGTGATTTCTTGTTGAATTTTAGAAATTTCTTGTAATGTGTCTTTGATTCAATATGGGATTAGATCAAATCTGTTAGGAACTTGGATTGGACTAACTCTGCTTGAAAGATGAGCATAATATGGATCATAGCAACTCATGACTGATATAGTTCAAGGGAACAAAATAT